CACCGAGTTAACAAGTGCAATGAACTTGATGCATATGAGTCGTATTACATCAACAGGAACAAAAGCAACAGTATGAATGAAAACGACGGACCGATCTATAATTCCATTTTTGGCAAATTTGATGTGTAGTTCTTGGTTAACTTTGATTATTTTTATTGTAAATAGTTTTTATTTACTTTTTACAATATACCATTGTTTTTGTTGTCAATTCATTTTTGTTTTAAAAATCAGTTTGTTCATCTAACTCACTGAAGAAGGAAGCATTGTTTCCGAAATACGTATATGAGTATTTTTGATACCAATAAAGTGTATTAATGTTGAAAAACAAAATAAAAGTTTCATACTTTTTTCAATTATTTAAAAATACACGTAAATCACCAAATTTCATACGAAACCCCATTGTCTTATATATGTTTTTGAAAAAACTTAAATAGTGACCCTCGTAACCAACATTATTCACTACATTTACTTCAACAATCCCATTCTGTCTTTTCCATGTTTTAATTTGATTTCATTGTGCATTCCACAAAAATTTTGTTTTTTGCAGAAAAAGCATGTGAAGTGTAGACCGTTTAATTTGTCACAGATACATTTTTTCATCTCACAACAATGCTTGTTTTGTTATTGTTCCAACCATGGAACCAATATGTTCACTTTGGTTCTGTTTTGTTTAAACTATTTTAATAATAATAACCGCCCCTAACAGCGTTCTTTCGCCTTGGTGGTTTATTGAAAATAATTTAATTAAATAAATAAAATATAATACAATTTGATTTTTATGAAGCATTTTTGAGAGAGAAAATGAAAAATTATTGCTTCTCTCATGTAAATAATATAAATTTCATAAATTAATTTTTCAACTACTAAAAATTTCTATAATTCATAACAAATTTTTGTATTTATCTGTTTTGCTTTTGATTGTTGATAAATTTACTTCTTAATCTTTTTATCACTGTTTGGCATTTTTTTGGTATAAAAATCGTTGAATGATGTAAGCATATAATTTAATGGCTCATATTTTGTGTAATCAGTTCTCCTAATTGGTAAATCCAATAGTGGTGTTGCTCTGGTATCATGTGCTGAATCATATTATTTCATTCTGTTTTAAACATAAGTTGACTTAAAACTCCGTGAATAATTTTGAAAATGAAAGACACTTGCGCCATCTCGCGTCTCTCCTCAAGAGTAATCATCCAATCATCAATCCCATGATGTTTAGCTTTTGAATTAGTAATTTTATATATTTTATATATTCACAGAATCAAAAGCCTTTGCGATGTCCAAAATTGGACTCCAAATATATGGTGTCTGTTTGATGTCCCTTTCCCATGTTGATTATCGTATTCGATGTAAATTGAACCTATACACTGGCACTATACACTGAAGAGCGACACCACGGTAATTTTGAACGTTGTTTCTGTCACCGTTTTTGTAAACCGGTCTGACAAAAGACGTTCTCCAAATTTGTTGTACAGTGTATGTTTCAAGAGATTTTCTTAACAATGTTGTGATTGGCCCCCGCAATGAAACCAAACAATGCTTGATAAATTTATTTGGTATTTCATCGGGACCACTGACTAGATCATCCGGAAACATGTCAATTTGTTGTCCAACAAGCTCCTCAGTTATTTCAATCGTTGATATTTCTGCACAAATGTCGCGAATATTTTCAATCTCCGTGTTGTCATATCGTAGATCTCCCATCATAGAGCTGTAGGCTGAGGCAAAGTGCTTTGCAAAGAAACCAGCGATTGTAGACTGGTCATCTGCCCTCATATCCAGATAAGACATCTCATGCGGCAGATCATCACTTTTCCCTTTTATGTTATTCACATGTCTGAAAAACTTCTTTGGATCATCGTCTATCAGATTCTCCATCTCAATTCTGTAATCCTTGAGTGCTGACCGTGCACTGCGTTTATATTCTCTTCTTAATTGTTTAAAATTTTCTACTGAATCAATTGTGTTGACCCTTTTTTAACCTGATGAGCTTTGCTGACTTTGTTTCTCAACTCGATTAGTGGCTTGTTAAACCATAACGGTTGCTTCCTGATGACTTTAGTTTTTAACTGGACATGAGTTTCGATTGTTGACTTTACAATTGTATAGAAATTGTTTAGTCTTAATTCTAATGAATTTGCATCGAATTCCTTATTCCAGTCAACATCAAGGAGTGACTCATTTATTAGTTTATAGTCAGCATTTATGTAGTCTCTATATGTTTGCTTAGTTTCAACAGTTTTGATGACGGGTTCATTATATCGAATATTGATTGCATTGTGGTGCTTCTCAAAATTTAACAAATGAGTTATGTTTGAATAATGTTTTCTTCAAACTTCTGAATGTTTGAAGAAAATTCAATCATAATTAGGGGTAATCATAATTCCCATACAAAATTTTTGGCTTAAAAACAAATATTTTGTATACAATCTTTTGCGAGTACTTCTGCTATTAAATTAAAGAGTATTTCGAACACATTTTTTGGTCTCGAACTTTACGCCGCTTGAAAGGCTTGAAAAATCGAACAAATATTATTTTGAACTTGCTTAATGAAATACGCAACTACCACCGTGCGGAAAAGTTCGTCTTACTCCCGTAAGACTCTTTAATTCATTATGACTTATGCAAAAAGCGGAAACACAATCGACTACGAATATTCGATGAATGATGGACATCAACATTCGTTCGGATGAATATACATAAAGATTTGGAGGTGATTTTCGATACAAAGCTAACGTTCACCAATCACATCGATGTGATTACAGACAGTGCACATGGAGCAATGGTATTCATAAAACACACATTAAAAAATAATTTCCCGATATAATCTGCAAAAATCTCATATTGTGCACTAGTCACATCAAAGTTAGAATATGCAAGCGTTGTATGGCAGCCATACCACCGTATACATTCCGATAGAATTGAGTCAATTCAGAAGGACTTTGTGATATGGACCGGATGAGAATTTTGTATTGCCACAATATCAATTTAGATGTGATGTTTTGAATGTTCAACCGCTTTGGAGAAGGCGTATAAATGTCTCTATATTTTTAATTTACGATCTCTTGTTAGATATTATAGTGTCAAACTCGATTAGAGATAAAATTGTACACACCAGGCAACAATAACATATGTCCATAAAGTTTTGGCAGTAAATTCAGGCGTTTATTGCGCCACATAAACAAAATCAAAAATATCAACCAATGCACACGGCACGTTTATCAGTACCTCGGGACTACTATCAAACTCAATTCGATGAAATACATCCATTCGCGGAGACGTACAAATTGGATTTACGAAAAAGTGTCTCAAATGGTTGTGGCGGCTAAGTTCAAAACAAATTTCGCATGTGCCTAAAGATGAACCCATCTGCCTACGAACCATATATTGTGTTTCATGGACTTAGTATGAAGACAAAGATTCTAGAGAAAGCAAAAAGTACGGTCGTATTCCCTATTTAAATGCTCCAACCCTCCAAAATTGTCATCAAGTACCGAAAACCGGGTTGGTCAAGCAAAAATTCGTTTTTGGTGATTTTTATGGTTACAGCACATCAAAGTTTGAACCAAAACAATAGATTTAGACCCGGTCATTAGGAATCAGCAAAATAAGTAATGAAAAAATTCAATAGGGTGTCAAAAATTGGGTATTTACTTCACCTCATAGCATTTTGCACTGAAAAATTCATCATTTTGGACAGTGAAACATTCATCGCTATGTCGAACCACGAATCAAGTGCAAGTGGTTTCTTTTGCATTGATTATGTTAGGGCACTACTATATAAGGCTAGAGACGTCGACAAACCGAACTTTGATAAAGGCGTGTTTGTATGGTAGGATCTTCTTTGGAAGGTGTTTTAGAGCCAATATTCGAGAATTTGGTGCTGAAACGTAAGGTAAAACCTCCATTACATGCTCCATTATCAACCAATTGTTGTTGAAATCGATAGAATTCATTGAGAACTATCTGATTTAACACAAAATTTTGGTTTGCAAGCAGAAAAAACCACAATAATGGCTCACTTCTTAAAATATGACATTTCCGTGAAAAAAGGACCATCTGTTTAACTTCACAAAAAGACACCAAATTAATTATTTCTCGTCTGTTTTTGGATGTAAGTTATAGGCGAAGGTCCAAAATACTTGAAACAAGCAACAATTAGCGGGAAGGTTCGAGAGAAAGTTGAAAGAAATCGACATATTGGTCCGCCAAAGCATGATTTTGAAGGTTCGACGCATACTGAGAAAAATCGAAGACAATGGCCAGTTCAGTGTAAGGTTAATGTGCTATTCGTAGCCCATTAATGAAGGTTTATACCAATAAAAAAGAATTTAATATTGTATGTTTGTTGTTCAAATGGCGAACATCTGAATTTACTTTCAAGACTTTATGGACATATGTTATAATGCGAACCAAAGAAATTTAAGAAATACAGAACTGATCAGACTTAGATCATTTACATCTGACTATGCACAAAATCAGCCATTTTACGTGGCCTGTAGAAATTTTAACATAGTAGGAGAGACATTTTTTGAATCGGCATCAAGACAAATTTTTAGAAAGAATGTTGTTAAATTAGCGAATTTGATATTTGTTAATCGGTGAATTGATTAATTTTTAAGAAATGTACTCAAATAAAAATTAATTATACGATGAACACAATCGATATTTGCTGCTTCAAAGTCGAAAAGGCTGGTGGTTGAATATTCGATCGGGTAGTGTTTCATTGAACGGTATTGTAAAGATTTATGTTAAATTCAGTCTGTGATCAGACGGTGAATAAATAAATAAATAACACATAAGCTAGTATTAGCCAAAAATGAAGTTATTTGAATCTATTTGGGAACACATTTTTTATAACCATCACCGATCATGATTCTGTACACGACAGAAGCAAAAAATTGATTCACAGTGGGGAATATTTATTCCAATTCTTGAAATTCTTCGAATCAAATGTGCATCTCGATTGATAAACCAGTTTTTTATTTGATTATACTTACTCGGGAGGATCGTACGAAAATCGAGCTATAAATACACAACATCTTCCTTTTCCAGGAATATCCAACATATCTACTTGGGGTTCACCATTACCGTTGATACTATATCCGTGACGAGCTATGAAATTGATAAAGACGTGTACATATTTTTAAATAATATAAAAATGAAGTTTAGTTTGATGAATTGATTAATTGATATTTGAATTGATCTTTCCTTTTTTGGATCAATTTAATGGATTTGTTCAACAAAAATTGAATATCCTACTTTCTAGATCGAGTGCTCCTAAACGTAAATGCGGTTGTGTATGAATGAAAGCCGGGTTAACTCCATCCAAACCACTTAAACTATCGAGTCCCCAATTTCCGGAAACTATTGGTGATGTGGGTGTCATTGGTCTCGGTCCATATCGGCCACCAACTATCAAATCTAAATCATCGTAAGGTTTTCTAATAGTTGATACAACTGCACTAGTTGTAAGCAATGGATTTGTGTACGTCGTGTAAACTAGATTTAAATATAGAATTGTTAACCAGTATCAAATTACGAAACTGTGAAACTTACCAAATGGGTTAACGGTAGATACCGATAAACCAGTTAATGCACCAGTGTTGGATATATTGGGAACACCGAGAGTTGTGCCGGTCATTAATCGATCACTCGCAACTCCTGCTGACGTCCGATATGAATATGATGCCACATTTGGGGCACCACTAAGTCCAAGAGTATAACTTGCAGATCCTGATGGTAAGGTGTAGCTATTGTGTAGGGACAAAACTGGCATAGTTGAACTCTGTAAATAGAAAAAGAAAAATACAAATATTGGAAAATTTACCAATTCTGGTTCGATTTAATCAATCAAAAAAACTAATAAGAAGTACCACTTTTACTCAAACGATCAAAAAAAGCAACACTGTACTTATAATGTCATATAAAACGGGTTAAAAAACTTGACTTGTTTGTGAGTGTATTTAGTATGAAAAAAAGGTAGGACTAGTTAGAAATGGTTATAGTCTACTACTACCATTAGTAATTGATCAAACTAATTAAAATGACAACTTTTGCAAAGATTTAAATAGAGTCTTGTTATGTGAATAATCGACATACAATAGTACTGATATCATATAAGTATTATATATCATATAAAGGCATATGTCGTTCAAGAACTCGTTGTTTTGATGTCATGTTCAAGTTCGAATAACAGCATTAATCTAATGCATTAATTTTTTCCAGAGCTGTGATTTTTGTTTTCTAATGAATAATAATAAAATAAAAAAATAATTAAAATATCAAAAAATTACTGGTTGAAAAAAAGTACAAAAAACAGAACCCCGACCAAAGGCTGGGCATTGACAATATGTTTGATAACAATGAAACTCATTGTTTGCAACAAAACATACAATATATGGTACATTTGAGTTTTGTGACGACAATATTTAAATGGCTGAGAAAAATCATGACTCAAATACTATGCACATGGAAGATAGAAACTTGAATAATGATTTACGTCCAACGAATCGAAAAATTTGAACACGCAAGAGTGAAACAATTGAAAAATCCACATGTACTTATTCAAGATTCTGTCTTCAATATTTTTTGAACAAGTTTCATTGTTGTGTGCTTCTTGATCGCATTATAATTTTACTGTTGTGTGCAATATACTCAGTCTCCGATAGTTTCATATAAACTCTCCTTGTAATAGCCAAATAACGCCTATCTATTCAATCACGATTGGTATTCGCTTACTATTCAGTAGGTATCACATCCCTTTCCCATGTTGATTATCGCATTCGATGTAAAT